AATAAATATATTTTATAACATAAATTATGGTCACAGTATTACTTTCTAGACAATGACATGGTTTTATAGGGTTACCAGGAAGACACATTTCTCATTAGAACACCTTTCATTACAATATAGGAAAATAGTACCTAATCCTTCTGGCTGCTCCAGATTGCTGGACTGCTGGCACAGTAGAAAAAATGTCAGCAGATTAGTATGAATTCTTAGGTTTTTATTATAAAATGCATTTTAATGGGAAAGCCATGAATAGACTGTTCAAAAAATAAGAAAACTAATTAAGGAACACATTAGATTTCTTATTAGTCATTCTTGAAAGGCACCTAAAAATTCATTTTATGTTTGAACATATATTATAAAACAAATTATGAATGCAACTATAAATTAATTTACATTTAGAATTATATAGATTTAACAGATTTTTGCCTGTAGGCTCTATTAAAACATGCTTCAAGTATTTGATAAAAAGACCAAGGTTATGCATGAACAAACATCTGTTCATTCCAGTGATTCATTTTCCCCATACACAAAATCAATTGTGTGTTTATCCTTTTGTTTAACAACATGTAGAGGCACAGATATCCATGCTCAAAAAAATACTTTTATGATCTGACCATTGTGACTAGATGCAGGTAAAATTAGCTTATCTTAAATAATTACATTGAAATTGACTGTGCCAATGTTTCAGTCATTGATTTTAAATACTGATGGGCATTACTATGATTAGCTAATTGAGGTTTAGTTTATAGTTACCTGAGTGTCACATTTCCTGGCATTCTGTTAAGGATTTCTAATAATGACTGAAAGAGCTGGAAAATATAGGCATAAAAGGCATTGGAATCACATGTAACAAATCCACAGAGTTAAATGTGAAGCAGCAGACATCAATGTGCATCATACATACAGTACAATTTGACTTACAGTATAAAGTACCATTATATTGCACAATACATAACATGGCACATTTCATAAAGCTACAATTCTTGCTCTGTAAACAACAGATACATTTTTACATCTATGACAGACAAAAATAATGAATAATTTTACTTAAAAAGTAAAATATGTCATTAAATGTTATTGCCTTGGCAAGGTCATTCTAATATCGGTTGGAAAGGATGCGGTGATAGATTGACACAACTCACAGCTGACAACTTTTCTAGAAAATATCTGCAAAACATTCATATATTCCTAAAAAATACTTTTAATGCTTTACCGTGGCAATATAGTATTATCTTTATTCTGTGAGACTGTACACATTTGGTTTTAAAAAGTGGGCCTGATCCTGCTCCCATTAAAGTCAATGGAAGTTTTGTCATTGACTTCAAAGGGAGCAAATTCAGGCCTAATTTTTTTCAAAGCTAATATTTTTACAAATATTATATCGACTGTCATTCTGTAGCTAGAATTTTTTTTCATTTTTACCTCTCCTACGTTTCACAGTGCTATGTAGCAACCCAAATCTGGTATTAGGCTGAGCATATAAACATATGATAAACATACATAAATGTTGCAGCTGGGAAAAATGCTCACCATCAGCGCAACTTAAAAAGGTTATTGGAAGTCTAAATAAATCCTCCTTAAAAATAAATTATTTTAATAAAAATTAAACTAATTCAATGCATGATTAAAATAGTGTAACTTTAGCATATCACTGAGATGATTTAAATACCCAACAACGCATTGTGAGCCTGCTCCTGCTACCACTGAAATCAATAGTAAAACTCTTCAGTCAAAGCAGAAATGGGCCCAATATCAACTTCCCAAAATTTGGAAAAATACACACAGTGTAGGTTAATAACTAGATTTTAATATACGCTTTTAGAAAACTACTGCCTAGCCTTACAAATTTGGATCCAATCATGTAAACACACACATATTTAACTTTAAACACATGCATATACCTACTGAAGTCAATCTGCCATCTGTTGAAGTCAACGAAGTTACTGAGGTGTGTAGAGTTAAGCATGTGCATAAGTGTTTGCAGGGTCTAGGGACCGTTTTTGCAAAAACACTTCTAGCTTTGCTCTGCTCTGAAACGCAAAACGAACTGATAAGAAACAGCTGACTTGCAAGTTGGATTTCGCAGTCTACATTTTAAAGACAGAAACCCTGCTAATCCGCTATAATACGTTTACAATACCTCTGCTGAATAACATGCACCTAGTTTTCCTGACTAGGTAAGAAGTTCACCTTCCAGATTTATATTTGAAAAATAACAGAACAAAATCAATAATGTATCTCAGCAGTATTATACAGCTTACACATTTATACCCCAATTCTACAAGCAAAACTCCAGTTGAAAGCAACAGCAATTTCACCTACATTAGGACAGCAGTTCAAGTCAGAACTACTGTGTGTTGATTATTAAACAAGGTAAAACTATAACTTGCTAATAAATATTTGGTGCATGTGCACCAAATATAGGTTTTCTGAATTTAAAAAAAATTAAGATACAGTTTATGAGAATAGATATTTTTAACAATTAAACATCTACAAACACTGAAGTAATCAAACAGCACTCAGATGTAATCCCTTTAAGATTAATAGATTCATAGATTTAGGACTGGAAGGGATCTCGAGAGGTCATCCATGGCAGGACCAAATACTGTCTAGACCATCCCAGATAGCCATTTGTCTAACCTACTCTTAAAGATAATTGTTTCAAAACACTATAATTAAAGTCCTTCAGAGCTGAAAATGGTTGTCATAGTTTTCATATTTCCAAAGCCATTTAAAAACTGTATTACAGTAAATCTTTTCAATCTCCATAAACAAATAATAGCATACATAATGTTTTATGTGGGTAGATACTAGTCAATTTTTTCCAAATAGCAGTGTTTTCATTTGATTAATAATCTGAATAACATTTGCAGAACTGCATCTGTTACAAAAAGTATAAGCAAAAATACGTCAGAAAGCCATAACACATACATAAAGAGATATTTGCCAAGTGTTTCTTCAATTTTCAAAAAGTACTCTTCAATGGATAATACTCTCTCCCTGCCTCTCATACTAAGGCTCTTAGAAAACTAGTTAACTGAAAAATATTTAGCATATCCTTATCAAAATATACTTCCTTATATAATTTAATTATGAACAATATAAGGCCTTGATTCTACAAGCATATGCATGCTTAGCTTTGCACACAGTGCATAGAGTTAAGCACATGCATAAATGTTTGCAGGATCAGGGCTTAAATATTCCAAATTGTGAAATACCCAATAGGACTTTGATAATATATGTGTATTACTAGGTCTTTATTAAAATTAAAGGAATTGGAAAACTGGTTTGGAATAAACAACAACAATACCATGAGAAATGCTGTTTTTGCTACTATTCCTCATGGGACTAGAAGCAGATGGAACTGAAATCAGGTGAGAAATCCTCTTCTCATGACATTTCCAGCACAGTGCTTACACCATAAATCTCGAGTCTGAAGAAATCAATCAATCGTTTGGACCCTTATCTGAATCAAACCAAAAACTAGAAACCTTGGGAATCATCCTGCAAGACGTGGAGCACGATCTGAGAGATGCTGAGTGCTCTTAACTCCTACTAAATTCAACAGAAGTTGAGGGAGTGCAGCATCATGTTAGATCAAGCTGCTTTGAAGATTTGACTATTATTACTGTCATAAAAGTGTAACTAAAGAACATATTCAAATGCCCATAAAACTCCATCCTAATGCAGTACATAAAGGATCCAAAACACTTACGGCTTGATCCCGAAGCCCACATTCACATGAATAGTCTCATCTAAAGTCAGTCATACCACTCACATGAGTAATACATGTGGTGGTCCCATTCCTACTCTCACATACAAACAAGTGTAAGTGTTTGCAGAATCAGTGTCCTAATTTGGCCCCAGTACAATTCATATTCAGCTAAACGGCTCAATAAAATTTATTTTAAAATGAAAAAATATACTGGTCTTGTTCACAGTTAATAAGACACTAAATGTGGATTGAAAGGCAGACATTAACATATGTTTTAAAGTAATTTCACATCCTCTACGGCTGTGGTGGGTAACCTGTGGCCCATAAGGTAATCCGCTGGTGGGCCACGAGACAGTGTTTACATTGATCATCTGCAGGCACGGCTGCCCACAGCTCCCAATGACCGCGGTTTGCCGTTCCCGGCCAATGGGAGCTGCTGGAAGCGGCAGCTAGCACATTCCTGTGGCCCGCGCCGCTTCCCGCAGCTCCCATTGGCCAGGAATGGCGAATTCCGGCCACTGGGAGCTGCGGGCAGCCGTGCCTGCAGACGGTCAATGTAAACACTATCTCGCGTTCTGCCAGTAGATTACCCTGAAAGGCTGTGTGCAGCCCGCAGGTTGCCCACCACTGCTCTATGGCGAATTGGCTCTGGAAAAAGACCCAAAGGATGGCCAAATTACATTTCAAGGATGTGTGCAAGCGAGATCTCAAAGACATGGACATAGATGTGGACAAATGGAAAGATCTCACTCAGGACCACAGCCTTTGGAAACAACAGCTCAATAAAGGCTCTGGAGTTACGAGAGGAAGAAGCCCAGCTTAGTAGAGGAGAAAAGAGCTTGAACAAGGCAGAGCCAAAGGGTTGAAACACTACCTTTAAATGTGACAGATGTGGCAGAGATTCTCTCTCTCTTGGGTCCCTTCAGTCACAGCCATGGTTGAAATAAAACCAATTGAGGAAATTCTTTACCTCTCAGGGGTGCATACCCATGGTCTCTCGAGACTGAAGGATCCCTACTACTAATTTCACATAATCATTTTGTTAATATTTATTTTGCTTTGTTTAGATTTAAAAGAAAATATGTCTTGTCATAATGAAGGAGATGTAGGGGCCTTTATGAAATCAGTGGGTTAGTGGAGTTATTTTGGGCAACTTTTTTCAAAAAGGCAAAACTCCTGCACTGGTACGTCAGCTTAAAAGATTAAATTCAAACTGAAACGCGCTAAAAAGGATAGGGATGGGATGCGAAATATAATTATGGGATATTGTAATATGTACTGAGAATGGGTTCAAATCTCATTTTTTATTCAGGCAAATCCCCATTTGCTTCAGTGGGATTTAACGACTCAATCCTGCAAATATGCATGCAAGTAGCTTTACTAATGTGAGCGGTCCCACTGAGCCACATCAGATTTTTACATAAATATTTACAAAAAATGTATTATGTAGTTTTTAAAACAAATATCAATTGAACACACGTTTTTGAAAACCAGTTACATTCTCCAACATTTGTCAAAACGTATATACAATTAAAAACTATTTAATACCAAACTGGTTACACCAAGGATGGAGGTTTGTAGCCTAGATTTTCACATGTGCCAATTTTCATGTGCCTGATATGAGGATGCATATTCTGTATGCAAACATAGACTTGAAAGACTGCATTTGGACTTACACTTGCAAGCACATCCAATTTGTGTATTTGAAAATCTAATCCTTAACTGACTGTGTTTTAATGCACAAATCACAGTGCAATGGACTGCGTGGACACAGTGGAATTGACACTTAACAGTATTTTGCTTTCTCAGCACTCTTCTAAACATTTTTCAATAGATAAAACAAAGTTCTAAAATTAAAAACTTTATTTTAAATTGAATTATTTTTGTAGCTTGAGAAATAAACCCACGCAAAGGATCTTCTGGGCTCCACCACTCAGCATTGGTTTGGGCCCAATACTGTAGTATTTGCTCACTGAAGTGAAGTCCCAATCTGGCAAAGTAACACACCTGAGTGGATTCCTATGCCCACATAAAACTACACTGACATCAATGGGGCATTGAGCAGGGGTCCAAACTGTTTATGAATTTGCTGGATTGGGGGCTTACTTCAGTAGGACTACTCCAGTGAGCTAGGGATGCAGGATCAGGCTCATTATCATATTTGTCCTCTATGCTTCTAGGCCCTGATCCAAGTCCCATCAATTTTAATGAGAGCTGGACTTGATCTCCAAGTCACTGGAGCTGGCTTGCTTGCCCTCCAGGTTCCCAGTGATGACTAGCAGCTAGAGGCCATATAAATAGAGTTCGCTACAGATTATTCTGCAATTGTCCAATCCGTACTTTACAACAACTTCTATTATAACAACAAAAATGTAGCAAACTTGAGGTGGAAGATATGGTGGAACTCACAAATTACAGTATAGGACTTGCACACTTCTTATGCTTTGCTTTTGCAAAGAAGTTTGAAATGTTTTCCCCTAAATAAAGTTAGTTAAATAGAAAATATAAATAATTTATATTTATTTGTAAACAGAATTCAAAAAATATCTTCTAGTGAAATATAAACAAGCATTTTAAAACTAAGAGACTGTGACTAACTGCAGGGCAAACTATATCTGTGAGAAAAGTGGCAAGATTACAGTGGAGCGGATAAATGACAAGGCAGAAGAGGATAACTGTAGATAACATTGAAAACTATCTCAGATCCCCCAAGATCTCGTAGAAAAGCTCAGTATACCGAGTACAATTTTTAGTGGAATAGAAAAGAGATTTGGATGGACCTGCCAAACCGTACTTGCTTGCTCCTATTCCCCAGTCCCCGGCCATAGAATCCTTGGCGGGCTGGATGTACCTGGGCCAGCCCCGTGGGTTCTAACACGATACCCGCTCGATGCTCCAGGGGGCCCGGTCACATTCATGGCGGGAAATTCCTCCCCCAACCGCACGGCCTGTGAGAAACGCGCCCAGCAGCCGCTGAACCGGCAAGGCTGCCGGGTCAGGGAAGGGTGCTGAGGCGGCGAGGGTGGCCTGGGTCAGGGAGGGAAGGGGGCGAGGGAGCTCGGTTCTCCCCGGGAGAGAGCAGGCGACGCCCCACGGTCCAGCCGCAGGCCGCTCAGATGAAGTGGATCCAGGCGCCGCCATCGGGCTCCTCGTTCGGGGAAGTGGCGGCCCGAGCTGCGCGCTGGCGGCCCCGCAGCCGGTAGTTGAGCCCCTCGTTGTTGTCCCAGTACTCGGTGCCGGCCACCCGGTAGCGCACGGCGAACTCCAGCGTGCCCCCCGCGGCCGCCGCCGGCAGGTGGAAGGAGAAGCGGTCGGTCAGGCCGTCGGCGGGGCCCGGCGACAGGTAGGCGGCCGCCACCTCGGCGCAGCTGACCCAGCGGTTGAGGGTGTAGCGCACGGAGACGGCCTTCTCGTAGGCCAGGTTGAGGACGCGCACGGCGCCGCGCAGGCCGGCGGGCTCGGCCCGCACCCACTCCAGCTTCACCTTGTGCCGCCGCACCCGCTCCGCGAAGCCGGGGCTGGCGCCGGGCTGCGGCGGGAAGAGGGGCTCCAACAGCGGCGACGGCCCGAACAGCACCGGCTCCAGCTCGCCCAGCGCCGGCGGCTTCCTGGTCTTGAAGAGGTCGGCGGCGCGGGCCGGGAGGGGCAGCGGCACCGGCACCTGGGGCAGGTCGGCTTCGCAGAAGTGGCGCACGGAGATGAGCTCCAGGCCCAGCGAGTCGGCGAAGCGCACGGTCTTCCTGCGGGACGGGCTCTGCTGCAAGGCCGGCCGCAGGCTGCGCTCGCCGGGCGTGGGCAGCGACTTGGCTCGCCGGCGCAGCGTGGGGCTGGGGGGCACAGGAGGCACCGAGGGCTCCCGGCCGCGGGAAGGCTGCGGCTTCTCTCCGGCGGCTGCCGCTTCTCGGACCACCGGCGTGGGAGACGGCTCCCCTTCGCGCTCCGGGCTGCAGTCCCCCTTGCAGTGCTCGGCCAGGCTGCCATAGAGGCAGGCGCTGCAGCTGAAGTTGCGAGGCAGGTAGAGCCGAGGGGGAGGCGTGGGCACTGAAGTGTGCAGCGAGGTCGCCTTATCCATGGGGGGCGAGAGGGCGACTAGGATGAGCGGGGCGGCTGCTGCTAGGGCTGAGCCCAAGTCTAATGCATGCCCAGAGCTCTCCGTTCCTGCGGCTGCCGCTGGCTCTTCCGCGAAGCTCAGCGGCCCCACCGCTCTGCCGCTTGTGTTGTGCAGCCTAGTGCATGATGCCAGCGGGGGCTCGGTTCGAGCCTAGTGCATGGTGCTGGTCCGCGAGCCCGGCAGAGTCTCCTCTATGCTGCTGCTCTCCGCGCTCCAGCTGCTGGGTCTGGTCGGGGTCTAGGAAATGATGATGCCCGATTATCTCGGAGCTTTAGCCGATCCTCCTCCTGCTGCTTTACCGGACGGACCCTAGCGTATGATGCTGCCGGGATCTGTTCCCAGGCAGCTGCATGTGCCTGCGTTATACCGGTAGCACTGCGGTATCCGTTAAGATTTGGGGAGAGACTGTCTGTGACGCGCTCCGGCTCCCTATCCGTTGCTGACGCACTGGAGTCATGCAGCAAAATACGCATCTCCGTCCCTGTGTCATCCTGTCTCATCGCTACTCTGCTCTCCGCCCCGTCATGTCTTCCCTCCCACCGTCTCCCTTGTCCTCTATCCCGCTATCATCCCCCCTCTTCCCAGGTTTTCAAGGTTCTTCCATCCACCCTTTTCCTCCTGCTCCTATTCGGGGTCTTTCCTTCAGGATATGATCTAAAAACAAGCGGTAGGGTTTCCCCAGTGGTAGCATTACAGTGCACTGCTGCACCACTCTTCCTATCCGATCTGTTACAGAAATAGCAGCACCAGGAACGATGCAAAGTGCAGCTCTGAAAGGCAAAACGAATTGATAAGAAACAGCTGGCTTGCGAGTTGGCTCTCGCAGTGTACATTTCAAAGGCGGAAACCCTGCTAATCTGCTATAATGCGTTTACAATAGGTCTCTTGAATAACATACACCTGCTACAGTCCAGCTAGACATCTGTGTTTGTAATAAAAGCTAAATCCCAGTCTAAACAAGGACTGATTACAAAGTATGAACAGTTTGATCCTTTATGAAGTTAATTAGATTAGCAAACGGTATTCAAACGAATTATACTTTAATGAAGACCAGATGCAGCTCTTTCTCACAAGAGATTCAAGGAGCTAACAGACTACTCACAAAGAGGTTTCAAATCCACACTCTATAAACTGTAGTAAACAAACATTAAAAGCAGCAACCAGACAACAGAATAACCACCCAATGTAAAAAAAAAAAAAACCTGACACACAACTCTTCAGTTTCAATTCTAAGCAGGGTGGTTTTCATCATCATTAACTCCAGCACTCCCTAGTTCTAGAAAGTCTAGACAACTGACTCTGTGGGTGATGACATTAATAATGAGAAATCTCCGTATGACAATGATTCAGAATCTAAAAACAAAAACCCCAACAACAACATGCCAGGAGAAGACAGGGAACAGTTTTTCTATTGTCTTAAACCAAAACTGTCAGCAACTCAAAAGGGAGTTTTTAAATGACCTCCTGTGGTTATATCCAATTTGTCTATCTTTTTTATGCTGGATGGGTCATAATTAGGGAACAAAAAAGGAATGTCCAACAGTGTTAAATGTGACATTGAATTTGCTTCATAATGAACTGAAGTAGCCTTGTAGTCAGAACAACAGGTGGATCATTTTGGGCAGTATTCATGTGAAAGTAAAACAGTAACAGCAACCATTACATTTGAATTCCATTGGCATATACACTAGTCCCGTATATTGACATCGTCGCCCTTTCTTGTCCCTCATGCTGCCTTCCTGCGCTGGCCTTTGCCCCCTCCCACCAGTGCAACTAATGTCTCAAGGAAACAGCACAAACCTCTGCATGCTTTTTCTGTTTGCCTGAAGCTGGGAATGGGGGACAGGCCTTGGATTACCTGTTCTGTTCATTCCCTCTGAAGCACCTGGCATTGGCCACTGTCCAAAGACAGGATACTGGGCTAGATGGACCTTTGGTCTGACCCTGTATGGCTGTTCGTAGGTTCTTATGTATTTTGATCTGTGCACTTGAATTTTTGAGTAAAGATTATAGAGGCCCAAGCAGTGATTAACATACATTTTAGTTCCATAGAGCTGTTCTAACCACTTATTTTTACTAATTCTTATCCCTAATCATGGGAATGTTCATTTCTTGTCTGTAATTCTATAAGAAATTAAATTATTGGTGTCATGCTTTTGCTTATGTTAATTACTTTAATTTCACAACCACTAAATTATACAAGTTTTATTTGTAAATTTAATAATATTCAATAATCTAACCCTATGCATTCATATCACCTTCAGGAGCCTCAGATTTGATAAACTAAACAGGCTTAGATCTGTTAACTACTTGCATGGGAAACCCTCAAGGAAAACCTTGATAGTAGAGGATGGGGTGATTCTGTAGGTGGTATTCTTCTCTTCATAGCAATGTCCCAGCATGGTGCCAGAGATCAATGTGAGTTTGGAGGTGCTATTTATGCAATATGATAGGCACATTCTGGGTGCAATTCAGACCAATGAAAGGTTGTGTCACTGCTTGTCCTGTAACTCTGAGTGCCTTAAAACACTCAGAAGCTGTAGTTCCCTGTCTGGATGCTCCCAGCCAGCATACACTATGTTGAGCATCCCTGGTCCAGCAACTCTGAATCCAGCAGCCTGCTTGTTACATCATAGTCACACTCTGGTTTCTACCAGCCTTGGTTACTACCAGCTATGTGACCCCAAAACATCCCTATCCTGAATTTCCCCAAATTGCCCTGAAATGTTCAACCCTCTCCTGGAACATTCAGAGGAGTTGCTCTTTTAAGGAGACAAAAGCACTGTTTATTATTTTAGCTGGAATTAATAATAAGTTCAGTTCAAACATGGCACTGGGCTGGTGTAGATTAAACGTAAAACAAAAAGAGGATTTAAGTGAGTTCAAGTACAAGGGATAGAGACAAAGTGGTTACAAGTAAATAAAAGTAAAATAGCTTTCTAATGGCTAAGACTGAACAAACTATAGCCTTGGTTCAAGGTATATTTCTTATAAGTCTTTCTTCTTGGCTGACTTTCTCTCAGTAAGGATCTTCCACAGAAGTACAAGGTGCTGGTTTTCCTAGTCTTCCACGGTGGAAGATCTTTGCATAAGCTGGTTTCTTACCTATATTCAGTTCCCAAGATTTAATCCCCTTTGGCTGAAGAAACCATTTTTTTCAGCTTGCAAGAGATCTGGCCTCTTGTATGTCTGTCCAGTGATGGATGCCAAAATAGAGTTGTCTTGATCTTCTATCTTCCAAAACTCACTGTTTTGTCCCCAGACTCAGGAGAACCCCATGCTGTTCTTCCCTTCCTGGGTACTTCCTATCCCCCTGCTGATTCATATGTAAATAGGACTTCTATTGTTTTTGGTCACATCTGGCTTAATTTCATTGGAGACCTATAGATAGCTGCCTTCCCACCTGTCTGGAAGAAAACCTGTTTCTCCCTTTCTTTGGTCACAGACTTTAAAGCATAATATCAGTGAGTATTAATGCCTCAGATAGTGTTAGTAAATACATTTTACAATGATATTAATTGCCACTGCATCATTAGCTTTCATAAACGACCTTACTTGATACACTTTTATAACCCAGTAATATTGCATACAATCAACTGATTCACTTACTTATCTTTTGAGGTTCAGACTCCCACAGGTGACTATTTCCCCCACTCGCTAGTTTGATGGCTTTGTTTACCTTTTATGTAAATACACCTTCACTGACTCTGCCTGATGACCAGGCTGGTCAGCCAAGCAAATACACATTCCATTGTCTAGGGCAGACTGGTCTTATGCATTGCTTGTCAAAGACATTGTAAGAACATAAACATAATTCTCTACATACCCCATACATACATTATGCAAGAATATTAATGATCAGTGAGTTATTAGTTTTCTAATGATATACTACATGTAACCTTCTGGGTACATATCCTGAGAATGGTGTGTTAGGTGTAGTGAGTATGTCAGGCCTGACAAGGGTTGTTGACACAGAGTAGTGAACCACCAGTGAGCCTTTGTGTTACAGATATAAAGAGACCGTGACTTCTTGGGGTCATCAGAGATCGTGTAATACTTTACATGGCAGGTGTACTTAGGATTTCACTGCTGCTCTTGAAATCTTTTAATTCATTCCTCCAAAGTAAATAATCCAATCACAGAAATGAGATATGTGGAAAAATTAGTGCCGCAAAAAAGATAAGAAAAATGCCAACTCAAAAACAACTTCAGGCCAGCCAGGTCATAGCAAAGTGAGAGGCAAACAAACACTATTTAAAGATGTTCCTGGGTGACAACACTGCTCAGGGAATGAGTGTTAAATAAAACATTCTAAGTTCTTTTACTCTTCTCCATATAGAACCCCAAAGATCTTTTAACTTACAAGACAGTGAGAAGGGCTTAAAACGATGGGCATGTGAATGTGGGGGGGGGAAATAGTGGCGGTACAATAGACTCAATAATATGGGGCTCCATCTTCACCTTGGAGAAGAATCTCAGGGAGGTGCAGTGGAATGTCCCTAAAAGTGGGATGGGGTACTCCTTCCCTGAGGCCCCCCCCAGCACCTCCTCTTCTTCCTGAGCCCTCGCACTGCCCCTTCCCCGAGGTCCTGCTCCTCCGCCCCCCGCTCACTCCTGTCCGCCCCTCCCCCTGTTGCTCACCCTTATGGATGGTAAAAAGTGGGGGGGCCATAGCCCATGCCTCCCCCCCCCCCTCCCCCGTTCCAGCATCCCTAATCTCAGGCTATGTCTACTCTTAAAATGCTACAAGCAGCTGTAGTACTCCAGTGTAAATACTTACTACAGCGACAGGAAGGGTTCTCCCACACTGCTGTAGGTAATCCACCTCCCTGAGAGGCAGTACCTACGTCGGCAGAAGAATTCTTCTGTTGACCTACCGGGTCTATACCAGGGTTTAGGTTGGCTTAACTATGTCTCTCAAGGGCATGGATTTTTCCACACCCCTGAGAAATGTAGCTATTCCAATGTAACTTTTCACTGTAGGCCAGCCATTAGATGAGTTCATAGTGGTACCTTATCCTCCTAAAATTAGATATAAGGTGGAACAGTCAAAGCCTGAAGATCACTCAGTCCACAAACTGAGGTCAGTGCCACCAGGAAAATGACCTTCCTTTTAAGAAACTTGAGTTCATAGGTATTGAGTAGCTCAAAAGGAGCTTTAGTGAGTTGTGTGAGAATCACATTAATATCCTAGGAGCTTTTAGAAGTACATAGCACATGGAACTGACAAGGGGCTTCAGAGACATTGACCTATCTTTAATTAATTTATGGTAGGCCAAAAGAACTGCCAAATGAACCTGGCTGGAATTTAAAGTTTAAGGTAGATTCAGACAGATGAAGAAAGATTTTTTTCATGAGGCAAGAAAAGGGTCCATTTGGGCTTGCCTGCACCATGCCACAGACCTTTTCTACTTATAATTTTAAGACTTTCTAGTGGCTGGCTTTCAAGAAGCCACCAGAACACAAGTCAGCTTCTTGGAGACTATGCTCAGGACACCCAAAAATGTGAGCTATTGTGTCACTCTTCTGCCAGAGCAGGAGTGAGAGCATTGCTTCTGCTAAGCTGTGTATCTGCCCCCAAATACATCACCCTGTCTGCCTTGCCAGCAAACTCTAAGACTCAGCCAATCTAAACCTTATCTTGCAGGAAACAATCAGTGAACCTCAGTGTAGGGATTATTGTGAAATTTACAAAAATAAAGTTAGCTTAAGCTTGGTTAAGAAAACAATATATATACTAGTAAGAAAGAAAATGCCCTAATTCGCTAATAAAGGAAGAACGTGAGAATAATAAGTTATAAGACTA